GGAGACGGAGGGGGAGGAGGAGGAGGAGGAGGAGGAGGAGGAGGGGGAGGAGGGGGAGGATCCGTGGACCTGGCGCATGGGCCCCAGAGCCAGGGATAACGGAGCCACTGCCGCCTGATTGGGCGACGGAGCGCGCCGATTCTGTCCGGCATCGGGAACCGCCGCCAATCTCGAGTCGGGCGTGTCCCCCTACAGGGGGTCTTTCAACGAATAATAAAACATACTCAACATCATTTATCATGTTAAAAACCATGCTCAAACAATGGTTCCCACACTATTCCTAAACTATAATTGAACATTGCCCCTGTAGAGGGGCAGGCCCGACTTGACGCTAATCCACTTCTGAGTCCAAGTTCATCTTGGACGCGCGCCTGCATCCACAGCCGCAGTGGCCCCCATGGGCGTCGACGCTTCCCCCCCGAGCCATTCCCCCCGGTCGGCGCTCGTGATCTACCAGGGAAAATAAACAATACAAGCACGTTGCCTAAAAACGCGAGCTGCACTTTATATAAAAATAGGAGCGGTCCAAGAAGGACGCGCCAATTTCGCGGCCCACGGCCTGCGAGGGCAGCACAAGGCGGCCCTGAAGGGGCCGAAAGCGCCACCGCCGCCCTGGAGCAAGGAGCGACCCTCTGGCCGAGTGCCTCACTCCATGGGCCCAAGGACACACAAAATACACACACACGAGTCCCAGGATCCCCCATTTTTTAACATTTTCTGGATTCTCGTCTTCCCCCCTCCCCTTCCCATTTTTTCTCATATTCTTCTGGGGCTCAGCGATTCTTCGTCTGTATGTTTTTGTTCCCCTTCCTGACTACCCTCGGCGGCGCTCCCCAGGGGGGAGGGGAGAGGGACCGGGCCTCCTCTGAGAGCAGGCGCTCGGAAGGCCTCTGGCATCCCGAGGAACTCTCTGAGCCTTCCCCGAGGACGCCGGGAGGCTTCCCTGGCGGCCTGGGGGCGTCTGAGAAGCTACCCCCCGCCATCTGAGGAGGCCTGCCCACTCTCACTTCCCAGCTCGGCGCAGCGCCGACGATCCCAGGCCCCTGCCAACGGGGCGTCAGTAAACGGGCCGGCAGCTGAGGGTGCGTTCTCAATGGTGCTTTCAAAAAAAGGTCTTCCGCGCCAAAGTGCGAGGTACCCCCCCCGCCCAGAGTTATGATGATGTTCCGGTGTTTTTGTCGTCCCGATTCATCTCGCCGATGTCGTACCGATGTTTTTGTTTTTGCCGTGCGAGGCAACAGCCCTGTCGCCCCGCTCGCTCTCGCTTGACGAGGCCCCTTAGCTGCCGCCCAGTTTGCTAACGCCCCGTTTGCATGGGCTTTGCTACCAGGACCTGCACCCTGGTCACGTCGGGCATGCCCGACCCTGCGACCAGGGCGCCTCGGGGACTCAAAGGCTGGGGCGGAGGCGGGGAGACGAGAAGCGCGACGGGGTCGGGGATCTTCTGACCCGGGTCAATCCCGCCCCGGGTCAGTCAGGCCATTGCAAGATCCTGCACCCAAAACCTGGGCCCATGCGAAGGATCCTGCAGGACCCTGCGCCCAAACCCCAGACCCGGGTCAATGCGACCCTGGCCCTGCAGGGTCCGGCAAGATCCGGCGCTCTGGCTGACCCCCGTTTGCATTGACCCCCGTCTCAGGGCTCCCGAGGGGGTTCGGCACCCCTGGCGCCGAGGGCCACCCACGTCGGATCTGCGGCCCCCGACGCGGGCGCCGCGAAGCGGCGCCCCTCAGGCAGTCTTGTCGGGGCCGTCGGGCTGAGGGCCTGCGTCGGTGCCCTCGTCGTCGGCGTCTGTCGGGCTGGTGGGGTCCTCGCTGGTCTTCGGCGGCTCCGTGGAGGTGTCCGTGCAGCGGCCGCCGCGCGGGGTGAGGGGCGCCTCCTGGACGTCCGGGTGCGCTGACTTGGAGGCCGCCTCCGCCATCTGCCTCTCGAAGGCGTGGATCTGCTCCTCGTACACCCTCCAGAAGTACGTGATGTAGAAGGAGGCCCCGTTCCAGAGGGCCCACGCCGTCACGACGCACAGCAGAGCCGTGTGGAGCAGACAAGGGGCGTGGACGACTGGCAGCCCGGCGCAGAAAAGCAGGAAGTGGCCCACCACGAAGACGCAGCGGCTGGCGCACGGCCCCCGCAGCCTGGTGGGCAGCCTGTTGATGATGCCCATGTCGTAGGCCATGTGATGATAGAGAGTGGCGTAACCCCTTCTATCGATCGTCTTGCGATTCCAGAAGAACTGGTTGACGCAATAGCCCACGATGAACACCGCGTACACGCACAGGCTGGGGAGCACGGAGTACGCGTCGGGTATCCTGAAAACGCAGGGTGCGCCCGCCAGGCCGAACCAGCTCCGCACCTCTTCCGCGGGCAGTCCTCCGCTGGGGCATGTCTCCGACCACCATACTGGGCGCCCGTTCGAGTACCAGCGGAGGACATAAAGCTGCAGCGCCGGGCCCAAGTGAATGTGCAACGATGTGATGCGGTCCAGGGAGTGCGGCACGAATGAGTTTCGGAACACGGGGATGGAGACCATCAGGACGCCGCTCAGCCCGTACGCCGCCTCGAAGAGCACCTCGCTGTTCGGCAGGACCCAGATGTAGACCAGCAGAACGAGGTTGCTAAAATAGCACAGATCATACAAGAAATAGTGCCAGCCGTGCCAGCGGTACCACACGGCCCGGCCAACGATGAGCCCCGACAGCTTGATCGTGTAGTACCAGTGGAGTGTCCACGGCGACGCACCCAGCCAGATCGACGTGACCACCACGTCGGCCATGGAGCAGACGAAGCAGACCATGTGGCGCAGCTGCCTGGCCCTGGATGACCGCGCCCTCGACAGGCCCTGGTCGAGACGGCCCTTCAGCTCCAGCACCTGCCTCTGGTACTCCTGCTGGAGCACCTGCTGCCTTTCCCGCATGGTGCCGACCACCTTCTTCGGGCCCTCGCGGAGCTTCCGGGCCATGCTGCCGATGCGCCTTCTGGGGCCCCGCATGGTTTGCGGCTGGTCGGAGGCACCCTCGCCGAAGCCCGCGGCGGAGCCTCTGCTCTGGTGCAGCCTCTGCTGAATGCTGCGGAGGCGCCTCTGCCACCGTCGGACGTGGTTGTACCTCGCCGGAGGCCCGAAGGGGTTTCCGCAGAGGGCGCCGCGGAGGCCTTTGCAGAGGTCTCCAAGCGCATTCGAAGGTCCCTGGGGCTCTCAGGATGCGTGATGCGAGAGGAACTTGCATCTGCATGACCATCAACTTTCGGAGGTCCGCGCTAATCCCACCAGCCCTTTGGGCGTGAGTGGTTTAGCGAGCTTTCTCTGTCCTCAACCCCCCAACCCCCCTTCTTCCCCTTCGGGGAGGGGTTTACCCCTCCCCCTACCCCCTCCCCCTGGACCTGGAGAGGGGGCCCCGCGGGTGGTTGGAGGGGTCTTTTTCGACTCCTGGGAGGGCCAAAAAACGAGGATTCTGGCCCCGAGGGGGGGGAGTTTGGCGCCTGAACTCGTCGTTGAAGTAAAAAACATTGATTTTACTACGGTTTTGGCCCCATTTTGGCCTTCTGAGGGGGCCGCGTTCCTCTTCCTGCTTAGCAAAATCATTGATTTTACGAAGGTTTTGGGCTGATTTTGTCCTTCTCAGGGGTCAGCGCTTATTAGCGCTTCTGAGGAGGTCGCAAGAGACCCCAAGATAGCCCCAAGAGGCCCCCAGGAGGCTCCCAAGAGGCCTCAGGAGGCCCCCAAGAGGCCCCCCAGAGGCCACTAGAGGGTCCCCTAGAGGTTCCCAAGAGGCCCACAAGATGCCCCAAGAGGCTCCAAAGAGGGCCCACAAGAGGCTCACCATAGGCCCACAAGAGGCAACACAAGAGGCCCCAAGAGGCCTCCAAGAGGCCCCCTAGGAGGCGCCCCCAAGACGGAGGCCTCCCGAACTGGATGCACACCAGGACGAGGGGCTCCGAACGACTAACCACCACGAAGAGCCCGAACGAATAACACCACAAGGAGGGGCCCGAAACGACCTCACACAGGGGGGACCGTGGCGCACCCGAACGACTCACACCACGAGGAGCCCGAACGACTCACACCACGACGCGGGCCCCGAACGACTCACACCACGAGGAGCCCGAACGAGTCACACCAGGAGGAGGGGCCCGAACGACTCACACCAGGATGAGGGGCCCGAACAACTCACACCACGAGAAGCCCGAACGACTCACACCAGGACGAAGAGCCCGAACGACTCACACCACGAAGAGCCCGAACGACTCACACCAGGAAGAAGGGCCCGAACGACTCACACCAGGACGAGAAACCCCAAACGACTCAAACCACGAGGAGCGCTTTCTCCTCCCTCCTCCTCCGCCTCGTCCTTCTCCCGCCTCCCCCACAAGGAGGATGTACAAGGAGGCGGGAGGAAGGAGGAACAGGGGAGATATGCGGGGCCAAGCGGACACACGCCTGAAAAACACGACTGTCGGCATGCTTCGCAAGAGTTGCTGCTGTGAGATGGGCTGGTGGGGATACGCGAAGCGTAAAGAATTTCTTCGCTCGGCGCTGGACAACCCCACCTTAGCCGGAGCAGCGCGCCAAGGGCGGCGGCTGAGGCGCCGCCAAGGGGTCCAGTGCAGATGCTAGAAATCTTCGCGGAACTCCGAACATTTCTATGTCTGGCGTTTACTCTTCGTCGAAAGCTTCAGAAGCCTGGAGAGGGCCCACCAAGGGCCTAAAATGTCGGTCCAACCGCTCCTGAGAATACCGCTCGATAGGGTCGGTCTCGCAGCCCGACTCCGTGCATCCGGGCGTGGACGCGAGGGTGCGGCTCTCGCGGTCCTCCTCTCGGGGGGGAGGCTTGGGAGAGGGGGTGTCGGCAATCCGTGGTCGGCATGCGCGCGGACGCGGGCCATCGAATGTGCTGAAAGGAGAGGGGGGGCCCTGACATATGGGAGATCTCATGTCGGGTGTCGCTAGAAGTGCCCCTGGCCCAAGGTGCCCCCGAGATTCTCGGGGTGTCCCAGAAGCCTCCAGAGCACCCCTGACGAGGCCCAGAGGGTCCCGGGGGCCCAACAATGGAGCGGAAGGCTGGGGGGCCTTGGACCAAGGGCACTTCTAGCGACACCCGATCGTGGCAACCGCCATGATCTCCACACACGCACACATACACACATTAGAACACACAGAGACATTGTCGCGGCTATCGCGCGCAGCGACGGGGCGGAGCGAGCGGAAGGCAGCGGAAGCGGGCGGGCCCGCGCGGCCAGGCCGCCCCACACACGTGCGTAGACATGTTCATGTATGTGCATATGAATGTGTAGGTACGTATATGTATGTGTGTTTGTATATATGTGACTATATCTACACACATGTATATGTCTATATATGAATAAAAATAGGAATGAATTATATACATAGATGTGCGCAATCCCCCAACACAAATTAATTGTGCGGCAATAGTCCAACTCTCGATTCGTATTCTTGCTGATCATCCACGTTCTTTTCATCCGTACCTGCTCATCAAATCTGTCCTCTTCGTCATGTCTTCGCTGTTTTCTTGTGCTGGGGTCTCAGTGGAATCATCTGGAATAGGGATCTGCTCAACTCCACTGAGACTCTAATTCGCTTTCAATCGGAATCCATTTGGACACAACTAGATCTGGGATCCGCTCATTTTCCATTATTCAAATTCGATTTCAAAAGGAAGCACACTGGAATCAGCTGGATCTGCGATCTGCTCACTGTCAACACGATCTCAAAACTATTACAGTCCACTTCGAATTAAACTCAAATTCGAGCCCAAAAAGAACCCAATTGGAAACAGCTGTATCTGGCATCTGCTACGTTCCACTTATTTTCTAATTCGGATAGAGAAGAGGAATCGAATTGGAATATGCTGGGTCTGGGATCTGCTCAATTCCAATGTGATGATAATTCACTTTCAATTGGAATCGATTTGGAATCAGCTGAACCTGTGGTCTGCCCAGTTTCAATGTGATGATAACTCGCTCAACTGTGACTCAGCTGGATCTGGGATGTGCCCATGTTCCAAAGAAAATCATATCGGAATCAGCAAGATACCTCCTCGGTTTTAAGCCGACTTACATGATATACATACATACATATATATATAGATATACATATAAATATGTAGTGTAACCAGAGTTGACACGTCTGGGTATGCTAGCTTCTCCACCCCAAGTTTTCTCTACTTTAATTCCAGAATGAATATGTTTGGAATCAGCTGGATATGGGATCCGCTCAATTCTATTTCGCTGATGCTACTACTGCTCCACCCCAGTGAAATGTCAATTGTGTTCCAATCGGAATAGGGCCATAACCGGCTAAATCTGGAATATGTTTTTCTCTCTCTCTCTCTCTCTTTCTTTCTTTCTTTGTCGTCCCCTTTCCCTGCCTCCCCCCTTTCACTGGGCTCGTCGAAGCTCCCCCCTTCCCCGGGGACCTCCTCAGCGCGCCAGCCAAAGCGAAAACAAGTGGCACGTGTGCCATAGCCCTTGCACAAAAAAGGAACGGGGAGGAGGAGGAGGAGGAGGAGGAGGAGGAGGAGGAGGAGGAGGAGGAGGTGGAGGAAAAGGGGGGAAGAGGGGGCAAGGCATCGCCCTCAGGGCCCAGCAACGGGGCCCAAGCCCCAGGTGGGGAGGGTGGGGGAGGCGGCGTGCGTCGCGACGCGGAATAAAGTGCTCGGGGCGGAGGGAACACGGGGCGGAGGTCCCACTGGGGCGCTGGGGGCGCGGAGAGGAGGGGGGGTGGTGTGTGCCGCGACGCGGAATAAACTGCCGGGGCGGAGGGGGCATTGGGCGGGGCTTGGGGCAGAGGGCCACGGGGCGGGGGTACAACTGGGGCGCTGGGGAAAGGGGGGGAAAGGGGGGAGGTGGCGTGCGTCGCGGCGCGGAATAAAATTGTCGGGGCGGAGGGGGCACGGGGCGGAGTCCCCACTGGGGCGCTGGGGGCGCGGGGAGGGAGGTGGGTGAGGTGGTGTGCGGCGCGACGCGGGATGAAGCGTTAGTGGCGGAAGGGGCAGTGGGCGGGGCCCCCGCTGGGGCGCTGGGGACGCGGGGGGGCTCGGGGCAGAGAACCACGGCGCGGGGGTCCCACTCTGGCGCTGGGGACGCGGAGGGGGGGGGTGCGACGTGTAATACAGCGTTCGTGTCGGAGGGGGCAGTGGGCGGGGGCCCCGCTGGGGCGCTGGGGACGCAGTGGGGCTTGGGGCAGAGAGCCACGGCGCAGGGGTCCCACACTGGCGCTGGAGACGCGGGGGAGGGGGGGGAGCTGCGACGCGGGAGAAACCGTTCGTGGCGGAGGGGGCAGTGGGCGGGGCCCCCGCTGGGGCGCTGGGGACGCGGTGGGCTCGGGGCAGAAAGCCACGGCGCGTGGGCCTCACACTGGCGCTGGGGACGCGGGGGGGCGGGGGGGGCGACGCGGGATAAAGCGTTCGTGGCGGAGGGGGCAGTGGGCGGGGCCCCCAGCTTGGGGCGCTAGGGCGCGGGGGGGGCGGGGCAGAGAAGCACGGCGGCGGGGCCACCACTTGGGCGCTGAGGACGCGAGAGGGGGCGGGGGGGGGGGGGGGGGGGGGGGGGGGGGGGGGGGGCGGGGGGGGGGGGGGGGAGGGGGGGGGGGGAGCGACGCGAAATCAAATGGTCGGAGCTCTAGACACCCTGCGCAAGACAATAAAATGGTCGGGGCGGAGGGGGCGGTGCGCTGGGCTGGGCTGCCTGGGAGAAGGGGGGGGGCGGGGGGGCGACGACGACGCCGAAATAAAGTGGTCGGGGCGAAGGGGGCGGCGCGCTGGGCTGCGCGGGGGAGTGGGGTGGAAGGTGGGGGGCCGACGACGACGCCGAAATAAAGTGGTCGGGGCGGAGAGGGCGGCGCGCTGGGCTGCTGCGGAGAGGGAGAAGGGGGGGGCGACGACGACGCAGAAATAAAGTCGTCGGGGCGGAGGGGGCGGTGCGCTGGGGTGCTGGGGAGCGACGCATAGCGACGCATGTCGACACAACGCCGAA